TCATACAATTTTACTTCCAATATAACTATACCTACGCTAAACCTTTCATGAAAGTAGGATGATGCATATTTAAAATAAAACAGATTTTATTTTTTTTAATCGAATATTCGAATATATTCGAATACTTTCATTGAATATTCGAATATGAATTATTGACAAAATTGACATCCCTAATATATATATATATATATATATATATATATATATATATATATATATATATATATATATATATATATATATATATATATATATATATATATATATATATTATTATACCTCTGTGAATTTTCGCTACATAAAAGTATGACAAATAAACCTTTTATTTTTTCTAAACAGCCCCTATTATTACCTAACCTACTATATAAATTGTAATTGGGCATTTTGAACTGTTTTCTGATTCTTTTTAATGTTTTTGCAAATCATGAAACAGTCAAAACTGTTTACCCGGTCACAGAATTAACTGTTGCATGGCTGAACTGTTCCATTATGACGTCACAATTAATTCCCCGTACTTTACAGCTATAATATTGAATTATGTATTAATTGAAGCATATTCATTCAATTTGAAATTATCATCTGAAACGTAATCCTGATACCAATATAAATATATATTCAGTTTAATATCATTTCAAAGAAGAGGCCATGAACACATTTTCTGAGGGTAATTTTGGCAAAATGTAGGCCCCTTTCACTCAGTTTAGATCTTTGCTATTTATAAACGTGTAATATTCAAATCTTCAAGACATCATTATGTTGTTTACTACTTTTTTTCAATTAATTAGTGCATGATAATATCACACCCATTAATTTTTCTGAACACCAATCGGTGTGAGAATTTGATTAATATTCGTCTTGTTAGTTTGGTTTTAAAAATAATACAAACTTTTGTCGATGTATTTTAAAAGCCATTGATTATTATGTTGATATCATTACTTTGAGAAATTATACAGTAGGTTAGGTAATAAAACACTTATTTCATGACAACTCGGGAAACAGTCAGACTGTTGTCCCTCGATAATGGGGAAGACCTGGGAAACTGTTGCCCTCGGCCTTCGGCCTTGGGTAACAGTTTCCCAGGTCTTCCCCATTACCTCGGGACAACAGTTTGACTGTTCCCCTCGTAGTCATGAAATAAGTGTATACTGTGGAATAGTTTTTTGTGCTATTTGCCCATGGTGAAATAGTCATTAAACTATTCACCGGCAGCACTACATTTCCCTCATTTTTCATCTCAAAACCATCTGGTTTGTGGTATTGTGACGTATCCGGTTTATGACGTAACAAAAGTAAAGTCGGTTTCGGTATAATAAAACACCTATTTACTGGCTATGAGGACAATAGCAAGTTTACCGTCCCCCTCGACAGCAAACTATTTCCCTCGGCTGCGCCTCGGGAAATAGTTGCTGTATTGGGGGACGATAAACTTGCTATTGTCCTCATAGCCAGTAAATAGGTATATATATATATATATATATATATATATATATATATATATATATATATATATATATATATATATATATATATATATATATATATATATATATATATATATACACCAGAGTACACCCAACAGACCGGACGTATTTCATAGCTGTCCGGATTTCTTTTTTTACAACTGGTTGAAAACTTCAAATTAAACATGCAACATTGTAAAAACATAGTGTTTGGTATTGTTTAGTAGTAGTGCTAGTTTTTTTATGTTTTTTTTTTGGGTTTTTTTTTTGTTTCTATGTTTCCTTTGTTTTTACGACTTAACTTTTTTCTTTGTCCTGAGGAAGAAGCAGGGCGTCCCGAAAATTTGACAACTTCTATCGTTAAATCTTGTCGTTGGTCATTTTTAGTGCTCTCTCTCTCTCTCTCTCTCTACATGTATATATATATATATATAATGACGACTTCCTTTCGTTGACAATTCAAATGACAACGAGTCGCAATAATTTTTTTGCTAAATACCCAGCGGTAAAGAAGATTTTCAAAATTAAAAAACAAAAACAAAAAACAAAAAACAAAAAAACAAAAACAAAAAAAACAAAACATGTAATGCATTTTCATTTCATATTCAATAGACCCCACACACATAAACCCCTGACCCTGGGGCCACAAATGTTAAAATTTTGGGAAAGGCACCCATGCTCATCATAATCATACACTTAGTTTATCTGCTAAATACCCAGGATCAGAGAGGAAGATTTTCAAAGAATTAATGCAATTCCACTATATTATCAACAGAGCCCAACCATAACCCCGACCAAGGGGCCATTAAATTCACAATTTTGAAAGAGGCACCCTTGCTCATCATTACTATATACTTGGTTTATCTGCTAAATGCCTAGAAGCAGAGAAGAGATTTTCAAATGAATAATACATTTTCACTATCTATTCAATGGACCACCCCCCTCCCCTGACCCAATTTTGGAATAGGCACCCTTGATCAACATAACCATGCACTAAGTTTATCTACTAAATACCCAAGAGCAGAGAAGATTTTCAAACAATTAATGCATTTTCACTGTATAGTCAATAGAGCCCATCCCTAAAATCAAAACCCCTGACCCAGAAGCCATGAAATTCACAATATTGGAAGAGGCACTATTGCTCATCATAACTATGCATTTAGTTTATCTGCAAAATACCCAGTAGCAGAGAAGATTTTCAAAGGAATAATGCATTTTTTTTCTATACATGTATATTCATCAGAACCCAACCCCGGAACCCCTGACACAACGGCCATGAAAATTACATTTTCGGAAATGGCGCCCTTGCTCATCATAACAATGCACTTAGTGTTTTCCTAAAACCCAGAAGCAGAGAAAATTTTCATAGAAATAAATGTACTTTCGCTATATAATCAATGGAGTCCCCCCTCCGCCTTCAGTAGAGCTCCTGACCCTGGGGCCAAAAATTTCACAATTTTTGAAGAGGCACTCTTGCTATCATAATCATGCACTTTGTTTATCTGCTTAGTACCTTGGAACAGAGAAGAAGATTTTCAAATAATTCATTTTCACTATATAATGAAGAGCCCCACCCTAACACCAGAACCAATTGCACAATAGCCATTAAATTCATAATTTTGGAGGAGGCAACCTTGCTCATCATAACTGTATACTTGATTTATCTGCTATATACATGTACTTAGAAGCAGAGGAGATTTTTAGAGAAATAATTCCCTTTCTCTATATAATCAAGACCCCCCTCCTACAGAACCCCTCACTCTGGGGCCACAAATTTCATAATTTTGAAAGAGGCACCTTTGATCATCATTACCATGCACCTAATTTATCTGCTTTATATACAGTGATAAAGAATATTTTTAAAAATTTATGCATTTTCATTATATGATCATTAGAGCCCACCCTAACTCCAGAACCCCTGACCTTTGGGCCAAGAATTTTACAATTTTGGTAGTTACAATCATGCCAACAGTTTGACTGCTTGATGTTCAAGAGGAAAGAAGAAGATTTTGAAGGATAGCACTAATTTTTAGCCCCAACCTGAGACCCCCCCCCCCTCCGGGGGGGGGGGGACTAGGGCTGGGTGGCTGGATGTCGACTGGAAATTTCGTATTGCGATATTTTTACTGTATTGCGATATGTATTGCAATATTTTCAATGACAGTTAAAATGCTCTTTTTCCAATTGTATTAACCTCCATCTATAAGCAACGGTTGTAAAACTGTTATGAATACATTGTTACAAAAATATTTTTGTTGATTTCACTACAGTTTTGGAACGAAATACAACCATACACAGCAACCTTACTGTTTGGTTACCGTTTAGTACTGTGTGGCAGGACTGAAAACGTTCTGACATAAATTTCATATTTTTACCTAAGAAATTTAAAGCCCAAGCAGTTTGCCGGTACATCGGTACTTGAAAAACGTATCTCAGTACGATATTTTTTGTTAATGAATTGCAATATACCGGAATATTGATTATTGCGCAGCCCTAGCAGGGACCATGAAATTTACAATTTTTGTTCCCCAACACTCATAGATATTCTATGCCAAAATTGATTAAAATTGGTTCAGCGATTGCAGAGAAGAAGCTGCAAACGTTCGACGCACGGTGATGGATGAAAACAGATAGCAATAGGTCACCTGAGTCACTCAGGTGACCTAAAAAAAAGTCAAAGAACCAATGGGGTGGGGTCGGGGGGTTGGGTCCATCCCCAAGCACCTGTGAAGAAAACGATGAAAAATCTATTCTATTTCCATAAAAAAATATTTCTCGACGGAATTTTATGAAAAAAAAAAAAATCAAAAACAAATTTATTTTGCATTATATTCATTCAATGAATCATACAATTTGTTGAAATTCAATTTCCAGCGGATCATTATGTTTATGTCGCATTTAAAACTTTTTATTTGACTATTAAATTCTGGATTAAATTTAGTTCAGATAATTTTTTTATGCAGGTATTTTCATTTAATTCCATTTCTTTCAAATGCATGTATTTTGATCCATGACAGTAACAGCCTCTCTGGTATGCTTCAGTTTGTAAAGTTATAAAGACTTACTATAGTGATATGAATGTGCATGATGAATTCTCTATCCGAACACCCATACCAAAGACCTTCCAACTCAATAAACATTACATAAGATATTCCATTAACCATCATTTTGGTCTTTCCCCAGAGACTGATATATTTTTATTCTCCAACACCACAAGATGCTAAAAATGATCTTTTAATGCATAAAATATATTTTCATTAGGTCAGCCAAATATTTAGAAATAAACATTGTAAAGGTACACAACATGGAAAAACTAACTATTCCTTAGATGCACCATCAAAGTTAATAATCTGGTCTCAATTTATACATCACCTTGGACATTTCAAGGTCTTTAAACACTCAATGTCTAGTAGAAACATGACACATTGTACATATTTTAAATAACCACTATTTTATTTCCTTTTAAGGGCATCAGTCTGTTTTTACAATTCTTAAGAAAAAATATAAAGAAATAGGATTTCATTGTTTTATTATTGATTAAAAATGACAAGTTTGTTGACATTTCCACTATAATTAATTGCACTTGTTCATGGCAAAGAGATGATAAAAAAAGACTTAAATTATAACTGCTACAATGTGTTCATTACAGCATTCCAAATATATACAGTATTTACACTATAAATATAACATCAATGAATTTAAATGAATTCAATAATGAAAGTAAAGTACAATTACCATGGAAACCTAAGGAATGTTTCCTTCTAGTTGGTGAAACTCTGGAACTCTCACATGACCATCACAAACTTAACTGTACACAAAGAATAATCTCCCTTGAAAGTTCTATACTTTGTAGAAACTTTCTTCCATCATTCAATGAAAACATTACATATACACAGTAAATGTTGAAATAACTATTAGAAGCACATATTAAAACATAATGATGCCATTTCTTTCTTGCACAACAAAAAAATATAAAAACAAAAGCACATATTAAAATGTTTGAACAAATCAGCACTCCACAATGAGGACAGGCCAGTCACAATGAGGACTTTTAAACTCAGGCCACTTAGCACCAATCTGCCACAACTAAAACATTTAGCACAAATCTACATTTTGTGTTCAATTAACTGAGATCTACCATAATTTTGTTACATTCCTTGCTAAACGAAACAAAAAGTCTTATCACAAACAAAGTATTAGCTTGTTTGCCTCATATTCAAATAAAAATAGTTTAAAGCTTTTATTCCAGTGTAATTGCATAATTGATGAATGTTGTTTGTCCTGATACAGAATTGACCTCCTACAGAGCTGTTTCCTCTGCTCGCCTCTCTCCCTGATCCATTAGGCTGGATCGACTTCCGTGTGTGTTTTCGTAACGAGCCTGTTCTGTGCACTCATCTCTTACTCTGGTCAGCAGCCTCTGAAGCTCGCGATTATTTGGAGCTAACTTCAATGCTTCCTTTAGATCCTCCACTGCAGACGAAAACTGTCTGCAAAAAAGAGACAAATATTTCTTTCCTTTCTCCTTTTTATTATGACTAAGGAGTGTGGTTAAAGATAAACAAATGAGAATGTTGATAGTCTGGGCACTTAGCAAATATATATCAAAGAGTATAATATTAAGCAAATAGATATTCCTACCTGTCATCTCTCTTGGCTCGAGCTCGAGCATAGTATCCCTCAAAACATTTATTTTTGATCTGCAATGCCTGTGTGGCCAGTTCTATGGCTGACTGACAGTCCTGGAAAGTAAAAATTGATACAGAGTGAATAGGTAAGTACTGAATACAATCCTCTGTACACTGCTATGAGTTGTATACAAGTTACAATAAGTGAACTGTCTCTTACATTGAGTTTGCGTTTACATCTGGAGAGGTTGAGAAGGAGATTCAGCTTCAGGTCTTTGAAAGTGCGTGAGTCCTCTACTATTCTGTCCTCGGGGAATTTCTTCAGGGCGTACTGGTATCTCTGTGCTGCCTCCCTGATACGATTTTTCTGCATTCACAAATAAAAATCAAATTTAACATTAACTTACATACAGTTTTACATCATACACGCTAAATACTCAGAAACATTCGAAACTCCACAGCTTTGCTGCTAAAAATACTGATTGAAAAAAAAAAAAAAATGTTCAAGTTAAGAAACCTTTTCAGTTGTTAAATAAACAAACAATTATTTTGTATACAAAATGTTCAACATATGCATAATTTTATATTTGCAAGGTAAAATGAGTAAGAGTGATGTCCCCTACTTTATACAATACATTCCCGTCCTCCATCAGTTTATTTAACAGCAGTAAGAGAACATCAGGCTTTCCTGCTGCCACGGCCCACGTCGTCTGACCCAGCTTAGCCCCCTTCTTCAGGAAACACACCACCACTGCCGTGTTCCTCCTGTCAATAGCTCGGTCCAAAGCTCTCATTCCATTCTGGTCAGCATGCTCTATTTGCCCTCCTCTCTCTATCAGGGCTTGTACCTTAAATTTAGTTTGCACTTATTTAAATGCAATTTTTATCTTAAGAGTTTCAAAAGAGTGCAACAATTCTTCTACAGTTTATAACAATATCTGATTTTACATCTACACTCTATACATACTACTTGAGCATCCCCATGGAATGCTGCCAATTGAAGAGGAGTTCTCCCCCTTCTGTCCACATGATGGAGGTTAGCTCCCTTGTCTAGGAGGGTTTGTATAATATGATGGTGTCCCTTCAGACAGGCCCAACAGAGGGCAGTCAGTCCCTCCTTATCCACTTGGTGCAAGGAACTTCCTGAAATCAAAGAAGGAAGTTTGAATGTACCTTGAAATTCAGTGAAACAAAAATTCCTTAATATTTATTATTGATATTTAGACACCACAAACGTTTAGTTACTCATTTTCATCATAAGGCAGTTCAGGCTTGCATAACCAGAATAATAGGTAATTACTCGTACCTCTGGCTAGCAGCATCTCCAGTACACCAATATGGCCTTTGTAGGCTGCTATCATCAGAGGTGTTCTACCATGTTTGTCTGTCTGTTCCAAGGAGGATCCCATTCCTAAAAGTAGGTCAGCCACATCCCAGTGACCAGCATCCACGGCACAAAGAAGGGGGGTCAGACTTTTATTGTTAGGTTGATGCAGACTAGCTCCCTGATCTATGAGGAACAATACCACATCTTTGTGGCCATGTCCACAGGCTGCAGTCAAGGCTACAATACCAAAGATAGGTTAAAATTCATTCTGTTTTATATCTTTGTATACAGTTTTGCATCTTATCAGTAGAATTTTTCTTCAGTTTCTGAATACTTCCTCAAAGGTTTTTGGTTAAGAATTCTGATTTTTAAACTCTCCTGATTATTTGGACATATTTCATACCTGTTTCACCAAGTAAAGTATCACAGTAGTTAATTCCAAACCCATCTGCAGTAGCAGAGTAGTTATGTAACAGGAAGTCAATTATCTGCAAGATCACAATAGGTAAATTCAGTACAAAAACACAACTGTTGTACAATATCACTTCAAGAACACAGTAGATCTATATAAACTTTCTAACAATTGCTGGAGATACTGCACAAGACCCTTACATTGGCGTGTCCAGTAGCGGCTGATGCCACCATAGCTTGCTGCAGGGCTTCCACTTTAGTTAGTTGACCATCATATTCTGACCAATCACATTGCAGAAGATAGATGAGGGCATCCAAGTGACCATGCATGGCAGCATGGACGGCCGGACACTGACCGCTCTTATCCACATGAGACAGCTACAAAAATATTTAAAAAAGTTGTAAAATACATCAGCTGTGCATGTTTTGAAACACAACTAATCATTCACTGATTACAGTAGCATATTCAGGGAAAAGATATTCAAGTAATTCTCTATCAGCCAGAAAAAAATGTGTACATATATTGTATAACTTGTTATTTTAGCAACCAGTAAATTTAGCAATTTTATTTTCAAATTTGGCATTTATCATTAGTGTGATTAATTTTTAGAGATTTTTGGGATCTCTATTTGTTCTCTATGACAACAGATCAAATCTTTAGTGACATTCATATTTAGCAATGCCAAAATAAGATGGTCGCTAAAACTTTCCGTTATATGGTACAATATATAACATATCTAGCTGTCTCTTTACCCTCGCATTCCTCTGACACAGCATACGTAAGATTTCTGTATGTCCAGCGCTGGCCGCGTAACACAATGCTGACATACCACTGTCCGACACTGCATCGACACTGGCGCTGAATTCCAGGAGGAGGGACACCATGTCCGTGAATCCCTCCTTAGCTGCAACACACATGATAGGGGAGTTGTTCTGGTATGGGGTCCTTGTGTTGGGGTTAGCTCCAGACAGAAGAATCAGCCTACTCACCTACAGCACATAATAACCTCATGTTTTACAAGTTCAAATACTGCTTATAATTATAACTGTCATATAAGTTACATGTACACTGAAAATATTAATCAGTCTAGTGACCATGACTTAAACTTTTTAGTCTACATTTACAAATACTTGATTGTTTATTGATTGTTGCCAATAATAAAAGCTAACCTTGACATTTGGAGAGAAGAGGTTCCGATGTGAGGCCAGGGCAGCATTAAGACTCTCCGAACTGAGGGCCATCCAATACGCCTGCATATCACGTGAGGAGTAGCCACGCTGCTTACTGACCGTTTTGTAGATGTGGGCTTTTAAAATGTGGTGCCCTAACTCTATGGTCTTATCTGCATTGAGTGGTGCCATAATCCTAGACAACTTGAAAGATACCAGAGCATGGCCATGTCTGAAATGAAAATATACACATTAACTCATACAATTATTGCATATTATTCATAAACATGAAAGATGTGTGAAAATTATAAAGATCTCAATATTTAAGCAACTTTTAAGATTTCAAAAATTGAAAATATTTGATATTTTTCTAGTCCCAGATTCCACCTATAATGTCTACCTCTAAACCCACAATAAATTTTATTTTTGATACACAATATAAATAAACATGTACACTACTCTAAATTACAACATTTAAATCTGTTTTTGATTTGCTTTTCATCCATAGATCTGTTACTCCTTTGATAGTATTTTTTTCTCTGTTTGTGAAGCAAGCACAATAGCATTGAGGAGATCTAGTTTGCACAGATTCACACTATGAAGAAATACAACATCCTAACAGCAATGCTGTATATGATTAGGCAAAAAATCACAACGGTGACTCCAAAAAATAATGTCTCCATTATACAATGATCATCATCTTTTTTACATATATTTGTTATTTTGTGCAAAATATATACGGTAGTACATGTTGTGATTTGTTGAACTAATGTTTACGTAAATATGTACCGATATATAAAATTATAAATATATAAATGTAATTTGTGACATGATGATGACTGTGACAAAATGAAACCATTAAGCAAACAGAATCAACAAAGGGAAAAGTGCATTCTGGGTAAAATGCAGACATCTATGAATAAGGCTGGTATCATGCAGTTTAGTGGTCATTATATTCAGCAGATTTTAGCAAATAATAAATCAAAAAGACTGACTACAAAATCAATTCAAAGTACTAGTAAAAGTTTCAAATTAATCGCGTAGCCAGTTTAGTATCCATGGTAACCACAAATGAAAGGAAGAACCCAAAAACGTAGATATACATGTATATAGCTATGTGTTCACCTTGGGTCAAATTCTGCACCACTGGAGGAACCAAAAACAAAAACAGGACCAATAAGAATACAACAGCATCATATATTAGTATAAACACATGTAGTATTTCATATTACAGCATTAAGATAAATAAGAAAACAGCCATGGGTTGAATGTAAATATAATAACTGAAGCGTACATAAGGTAGGAGTAAGGTGTTTTATGTTTTACCAAATATAACAACAGCTGATGTGTGAGTGGGAGATAAATTTCGTTATTAATGTGATGAAAAAAATATCAACTTGATAAGGACACATGCTCTGTTTCTATTTTGTGTATCAGCAGAAAAAAATTTGAAAGGAAAATATGGATGGGATGAAAAACGAAAGTAAATTAAAATCTCACCGAAGATCACAGAGAAATTTAGGATTATCCACTTCGTCACGGCGAATTAGCCACTCCCTGAAGGCGGGGTGGAAGAACATGTAGGTGGAGTCTTTACGCAGAAATAAAAATCCCTGGAGCATGCTCATTCTCTGGGTGAATTCTTCCCAGGGCAGGAAGTGCTCCGTATAACCCGAGTTTATGGTGTCATAAATCTCCTCCAAGTTCATGGGGTACAGAGTGGACAAACACACAGCCAAAATGGGAGAAACTTTCTCAAAGGATCTCACACTTTGGAATTTCAAGTTGAAATGTAATAGGAACACCTCTGAGATGTTCATGGGTAAAATCCTATAGTTTGAACTTTTAAGCACTAGGTGTCCTCGCTCTATCAGGTCCAAGGTCATCTTACAGAACAGGAAGGAACCCTTACTCAGTGTCTGTAGATGATGACAGAACTTGACTTGTGTAGACTGTTCTAATTTACCATTCAAAGAAATATTGTTTACAATACTGGGGCTGGTTTCAATCCTGTGGTTCACATAATCTATAAGGTCCTTGCCTATTAGGTCATTGCTTTGGTCACGGTCAATACAAACAGTGGTAAAACAAAGGTCTTTGGTGATATCTACCAAAGAAGAATGCACAGTTAAAACTAACTTCAGCCACGGAGGGAACTGTTCTACATGCCGACATAAAAATGAGGCTATAGTATCACCATAATCAGGCTTATGAAACTCAGCCTCATTCAAAGAGTCTATCACAATCAAACAACTGTCTGATGTTATTTTGCCATCTGCTTTTAACAACTCTAAAGGATCAAGGATTCCTTTAATGAAAGCACTGGATGGGTTCTGTACACACTCCTTCAGACTCAGTACATGTTGTAGCTGTGGATCTTGTAGAAGCAGCTCATGAAAGGAGGAGAGTTGTGGTGCCTGTGTCAAACGTGCCGCCAGACTGTGGACAAACTCCGGGACCAAACATGTGATGTTGTTGTCTGCCTGACAGAAATGGAAAGCTACCACCTGGGATCCCAGACTTCTCAGACAGTCGTAGGTGAGGTCAGAGGAGGAGGCACTAAGGCCGTGGGACAGAGTGGATTTCGGACTGTAATTCGTCAAACCATTGTACACCATTTTATCTCGATTTATTTTGTGTTCATTTCCTGAAAATACAGAAAATTACCTTTGATAAAACACATCATCAGCAATAAACTTTAAATATGGTCTCATTGATAGTATAATGATGTAGAACAAATTATAAAATCCAAGGTAATTTTTTCCTTTCTTTTCAATATCTTGCCGAGTACTATATTGACCTTCTACAAGTCCACTCCTGCCATCAGTGAACACACTGCAGTCCACTAACTGTTCTATAATGGCTGTTTTTCCTGCACCTATACCCCCAGTCAGGACCACTCCTCTTACCCTGTCTATGGTGGGCTCGCTGTTCAGAGCCTGAAGTAACAACACAAACAAAGGTCACAGAAAACCCACAGTATAAATAAGACAACAATTACAACTGTTCTAGTCTTATAGCCTGTTTTTCATAAAAAGAGTAGAAAGGATATTTATTGAGATTTTTATCAAGTTTTATATCAAATTTCATACAATATTCTATGTGTAAAAAAGTTAATACCATTTCTATGTCCTTGAACAGCCATTCCCTCCCTACAAATAAGGCTTTCCCCTCATTATGGGGCACCTCAAAAGGTAAGGCTTTGAGTCTAATTTGTGGTGGTTTGATTGGTGTAATGTTGATACGACGTTCACTTGAGTGACCTATTGTAGCACGAGCAGAGGACCTGCGGAAGTTTCCTCTCTTGCCAAACAAATCCTCTATTTGTCCTGGTGTTGAGGCTGCAAAGTGAATTAATGATAAGCAATGGACTATGGTGTTTATATGAAATATATTTCCTTTTTCTTGTACCTATATCACTTACTTTTCAATAACTACAAAATCAAAACTATTTCAATCATAAATGCTTTGATCACACCAATAAGATCTGTCATTGTTTAGCTTTAGAATCTTTCTTAGGACTTCCTTACTTGTGATGGAGTGAGGCCGCTGTGTTGTGGTGTGGGGACTCATACTGTTCCCAGTACTAGTAGACATGAATGAGTGCATACTTTCTGCACTGGGGTCCCTGCTTGTAAAGAGGGACTCGGTACCCATCCTAATTCCAGCATAGTGGCCCCTCTCACTACCAGAGGAAGCTGAATTTTATAACACATTTATTAGTATTAGTAATTGTACCCATTGATAAATATAGTAATGTATAATAATCTGTACAAACTGTGAATCCATTACTAGTATCAAGTACCACGGTGTTAGATTATCAAAAGCAGTGACATATTTGGCAATAACACATTGTGACAATGTTATAAGTTACTAGTTCATGATTACCAGTGAGAGTTGACAGAGGGCTGGTGTCAGAGATCCCCCGGTCTGGGGTGGAGATTCCTCTCTCAGGGGTTGCCTCATTACTGCCTAAAGATGACACGCTGGTAAATGTTTCCTCTGTCACCTGATGTCCTTGTTTACCTTTACGAGTCAACATAGGTGACATCTGACCTGGGTCATTGGAAGTTCGACCTTTGTCTGAGAGTAACAAACCCAGTCTGACCATAAGGTCATTCTGTGCAACATCTGGAGAGGGAGGAGGGGGATCTGTAGAAAATTAACATACTCTTGATTAAAGCAGCCCATAAATTCAGTTTCCCTACTGAGAAATGTTATTTCTTTATCTGACTTCAAATTTAAACAGTATGAGTTTATCTGCAATTATTTTACATATGAATAGTTTTCACTGAACCATATGAACATGTATTGGAGAAAAAAAAAATCTAAAAAGCTCCTACCTAGATGATCATTTAAATCCAGAGCAGGTCCCTCCCTATCTAACCTTGACAACTCATCAAGGTCATCATAAGGTGTTAGACTAGGGTCTGCACTGGGATCTGATGGAGCAATGGCTGCTGAATCTGACATGTTACTCTTCTGTGATGAAGGTACAGATGGTGGTGGGTTGGGGCCAGTTGGAGACAGTGATATAGGTTTGAAGAATCTAGGTTTGGATGCAGGAACTTGTGGCTCAGGTATCTGTTTTCCACCTACAATTAATTTTTTTTATCAGGTATAGCTGAGATTAATTAGTTGTACCATAAATTTTGAGCTGCAAGTTGCTTACATCTGATTTGACTTGATTCCAAGTAATCTAACTTTATCAAGAGCGCACCAGTGTATGTTTCAAATGTGCAATTCACCATTTAAAAAAAAAAGTAGTCAAAAACCTGGCAATTAAAACATTATCATGAACAAGCATGTAATCACAGCAAAAATGGTAGGCTTTACAGATAGTTAAGCTTTGGAAAAGTTCCTGTCTAATACACATCTGGTATGAATGAGATTCTCAGTGATGAACAATTACAAAACCTACATGTCAATTCAAACTCCAACTGCGCAAATTGAACCTACATTTTGTAGCAATTACTGTATTTTTACATTAAAAACAAAGTCTAACAAAATTTTCTGGTTTCTTGGCTTCCTATCCCATTGAAAACAAGCCATGCTTTAGTTTACTATTATACCAAAGCTATATGAATGAAAAATAGAGGATCCATTAATAAAAAAGAAGCCCAAAACTTGCTCATATTACATGCCTGATTACCTTTCTCATTAGATACAGATGAAGACACCTTTGATCCCTCAGTTTCATTTTCTACACAATCCATCATGTGATTAGTTTTCTCCATTGAACAGTTTTTATCATCCAAGAGTCACTAATCTAAAGCATTAGAGTCACTGACTCCTCAAGGGTAGCAAAACACAGGCAGATTCTTAACAATACTTACACATCGTTTTTTGTGAAAAATTAACACAGGAGGCTTATCAATACACTGATGAGAAATCCACACATTTAATTAATGTTTCTACCAAGTACATGCTTGTAAAGTCTGCATGCATCTCTTGCATTTGAATCTCCTGTAACAAGTACCTGTATTGCTTATAGAACACTCCCAGAACAATCCACTGTTTGGAAAAATACAAATTTCATAAGAAAATGCTTGTCTCCAGAGAAAGACAAACTTGAAGAAATCAATGCATTTTACGTAGTGTCTGAATGTCACACTGGGTTTGTCTTTGGAGCACAGTCTGAGAACATTTGGCAATGATGTGCATTACAAGTGACAAAGGCCATCAATTCCAAAGACTACATATAGCCTCCAGCAAATCATCCACAAGCCCTCCAATTTCATTTAATTTTAGACCTCTCCACTAAATCTTGTAGCCACTTTTTTGAAGTATTGATTTTTTTTCTTTGAATAAAAAAAAAAGATTTTTTTTTTGTGTTTAGTTTGTAATCAATAACCATCTTGGCAAGCATGTGTCATGCAATTACAAAGAAGGTCTTATCAAAAACAGATGCTTTGTCATGTTTTCTCATTTCTATGGAAATGACTGCTTTTACTGTCTCTCCATACAAACTCATCTATATTACTGTCATCTAGGATCCAGGTCTGGGGGGCAAACCTAGCATTAACTGCCTAGTGGGGGGCAACCTTCACTATCAGTGACCTGATCGATCCCTTATCTCAGTCCGAAGGTCACAGTGAGTCGACAGAACCACACTCACTAAATATACATTTATTTTGGTGTCTGTTAAAATTATTTCATCAAAATATGTATTCAAAATGACAAAAATAGAAGATGAAAAAAATATTTTAAAAAATTGGTTTGATTCATGTAATACAAGGGATATATATACATGTATATACTAATGAGTAAGCAACTCATAAGTAACTATAAGTTCGTTTACTTGCCCAAAATGTTACACACAACCTTGCATGTTTTTTTCAAACTACATTTTAATCTCAGTAAAATTTTTGATTTTAGATAAATGTAATCTTTTCTTTTTGTTGATAGGGATGGATATTTAATAAATTTTGAAACATACATCGTAAGAAAAAAATTAAAATATAAGTAAACAACCACTAAAATTTGGTGAAATTTCGGAAATATGGCCGATCTAAGCTTATTGTATTGATTTTGAAATTAAAATGTAATTATACTAAGATAAGGAGAATAAAACAGTACAAACGACATATTTTTAATAATATTTGATGGATAATTAAAGGTTTTGTTCTGATATAATATTTGATAACATTACAGATATATTTAATTAAATTGACTGTATGACATATGAAATCCTGTAATTTGCTAGATATCACAAGGGTTGCCTATTCCGTTGGTATAAAGGTGCCTGGTAATACTCAAGTTCTCAAAGTCTTAAAATTGTGATCCAGTGATGTTGGTTTTTTTCTGACAAAATTGTGATCTAGTGATGTTGGTTTTCCGACAATCTCGTATATATAATAAGAAAATTGTGGAAAATGCAATAAAAATCTCAAAGGCTAACACTTATGTGTTCACACACAAAATATCTTCACAACCAAATCTAAGTAAATATAGAGACTTTTTATATGTCACTATAATATGTCAAGTGTTTGGAAATTTTCAATTTTTATGCAGAGATGAAAGGGGTGTGGCACATGTACTAAAAACAATGTTTTTTTTATGGTAGATTCCCTATTTCATTAAGATTTCAAAAATTAGTTGGTAACTTACCATGGTAGACATTTGAGAGGGACAGAGATGTGGGTGTTGATTTGGAGGGTGTGGTTTGGGTGGAAATCTCCGTTCTCATCTGAGGGGTAAAATGACCATTGGTCTTCATCCTGGGACGATTACTGTATGGAGAGATATCACTGCTTTGTCTAATGTGATGGCCTGCTCCTGTGGGATCTAAAAACATTTTACAAAATTTTCATAGTAGACAAAATTTACCATCTAAACAAGACAGCTGAAATACAATATGTGAAGTATTTACCATGTATTTTCATGATGTACATATTAAAAATCAAAATACTGTAAACCACCTATTATTTGCGTCATCTTTTATCCGCGATTCGTCAGTTTGAAATCAATCAGCGACAATTAATTTTCGCGACTGAGGAATTATTCTATACAAATACAAAGCAAAATAAATGGTTCGTGGCCATTAATATTTGCGAGTTAAAATAGATCACGAAACTTACCAATATTTCTCGCACGCGAATAGAAGTTGGTTTACAGTATTTTCTTTTTCCCTAAGAGGGTGCCTTAACTAACAATTTATTTGACAAAGCATTCCACATTTTTTTGATGAACTGAAATATGTGTGCTTCGCAAATATTTTATTTCACCATACAAGGTGCAGAAACAACACTGTTTTATATCAAGGTAGAATCTATATGACATTTCAACTAAATTAATTACTAAAGCTTGAATTTTTCTGTATACTTTTTCAAAAATTTTAAAACTGTCTGAATATTTTAATATATCTGTTGGAATTCAGAAACAGGTAAGTTACCTAGAACACCTTGATTTGCTAGTTTAGCTTTTGTACTCACTGTTTTCACAGATTCGACAGGTATCGTAGGTGAACATGCAGCTGTAACATTTGGCGTGTCCACAGGTGTCAATCAGTCGACGCTTCTTCCCTTTGTCAAAGGGCATGTGACACAGGGGACAGCAGTCCACGGCTTGTTGATCCATAGTCAGGTCACGCAAAATGTCAACGTCTGAAAATATAAAAACCACGAATATAGTGCTCTTTCTGAGTGTCCTCCTTCATTCCACGACACACCTATTACTAGTGTCCTCTTTCCTTACAGTCAAAACTTCTAGATAATATTGTATCCTAAACTTTTAAGTATGCAAGACTGAACATGATGAAAAAGATCCACACACTCAAAAAAAAAAACAAAACAATTTTTTTTCCGTATTCGTTTTCCACTGTATCACAACTAACTGAATACAAAACAGACAAGAGGACTTTTCACCCTGAGAGCACAAACTTGTCATTTGGCTCTTCAAATGTTCAAAGTCTCAATTTCAATTCTTATAATTGTTTAAGTTGTTCTTTCCTTTTCACAAACTAAAGAGAACCACTTGTTCCTAGCCTTGTGAAGAGAACAAGACACAACATAAACTTGATGTTGTTTTACAACAAATCAGAACTCTTAAATAAAGGTGGTTACAATATTGGCAAGAGTTTTTGAATAAAAACAGATGTTTGGAGTAATTAAACAAAGGATCTAATAATACAGTTAACTTTGGCATGGTTTTCTTTTTATGTTGTAATGTTTCAAATGTGTTCTTATTTATCAAAACAGACATGCAGTTAATTAGTGTATAGCAAATCTTGTTATTTTTTGACAGTTGTAAACAAAAAAACTTATTTCTGGTTGAAATTTCAGTTTACATTTATCATTTCCTAACTATTTTTTTTTTACTTAGCATATGAAGAATTACAACATAGTTTGCTTTTCAGTCATAAAAACAACTACAAGGAATAAAAGACACACAGCACCCAAAAAGCCAATTTATCGTTCAATGATGTACAAGATTTCTGCCCACTCGTCAGCTAATCAGTCTGTGCAATATTTGCTGCACATTAATCCTACGCCCAATGCTCCAATACTTCTAAAACCACAAAGTGACACAGACCAGCCCTAATCTAACTGTATCAAGCTCTGGCATCACATCAAGGAATGAATTAGCCACTGACAGAAGAATATAGAGAAAGGACGGTGTTTATCTAACAAAATTAATTAGCTGAGGAAGCAGGCAGTCTTGTGTCACTGCATTAAGCTTTACCAGATTTTCCCCCCTTTCTTTTAAACAGATTAAATCAACTTTTTTTCCAAGTTGACTTGAAATAAATTCAGCAACATTCATTATAAACTAAAGGAATTAAGTACACGCATGTCAAAATAAAAGATTTTCAATAGGGAAAAAAAATCCTAAAGAAATAATTTGATTTAGTGATTAACTGTAAATATTTCAATAAAACTTTGATTTCAGTGTTTGAAACATTTTTCAAAAAGAAATTGTGGCAGTCAGGTGTGTTCGATGGCTGGTGGCCAGAAAGTTCAGTTGGTAGAGCACCTGACTGGAGATTCTGGGGGTCCAAGTTTGAATCTCAGTCTAGTCTGTCACATTTTTCTCCTCTCCTGTTACATTTGGAAGTGACAGGTGGAAGACCTGCCAGGGAAGAGCCTGGGTTGGTGTCTTCAGGGGTGAAGACCTTTAAGGAGGGAGGAATGTGGCGGTCAGACGGGTTCGATCGCTAGTGGTCTGTAGCACAGTTAGTAGAACACCTGACTAGAGATTCAGGGGGCCTGGGTTTGAATCCCAGTCTGGTCAATTGCATTTTTCTCTACTCCTGTTACAAAATCAAATCATTTTTCCTTCAGTTCTCCAAGAAAAATGCCTAAAAGCCAAATACTATATTGCTGCAATGAACTGTCTATACATGTACATTTGTTCAGTAAATCATGTACTGCAAGTAAAAATTAGCAAGTACCTTCCACCATATGGTCAAAAAACTCTACTGATCGATACAAAGGTAATAATTCAAACAACTTCCTACCCGTTCTAGCTCTGTTCGAAGGTCTTAAGTCCTTTAGTTCTACCACTGTACATTTCGCTGTTTCAGCTGATCAGGACACAGTTAATCCTTTAACCTTATCAGGACTAATAACTTGCCATTAGTAAGGTGTGGAATATTCATTGGTGCTCAGATTAACGGAAGTCTCTCTTTAATCTTAACTAATCGCAAAAACAATGCAAGGCCAACCCTCTTCTTTTGTTTTTATTTTCAGTATTATCTTAATAAGATTTTCAGAAGAGATTAAACACAATGAACTAATACAAAAACTCCCCCAAAAAACCAAGTAGTGTGACTGACTTCTGTACAGCCATTCACAAAGAATATTTAAAGTTTATATAATGAATTTAGTCCTAGGAGTGTACTTTATGAGGAACTAGCCATGGGGAACTAATGGAGCTGGTGTCATTAATTGGTGTTTTAAATGATAGATGAAGGATGACAAAGGAAATTTGTGACAGAAACCCTCAGTTTGTATAGGATCAATACCCTCGCAGGTTTAGACCTGCCCCAAGGTCATACATGTCTGCGATTCTTATCACAATAAACATTCCAATGTCCTAATTAAAGATCTTATGAAATTAATATTAAGAAGCTTTGTCATGATTTTTCCTGAACATTTAACTTAAATTTCATTAATGTCAAAATTACACTTGCATGCCAAGTGTGTTTTACACATCATGTCAACATACCTTGAACAGGTGAAAAGGTTAGAGTCAAAAAATATCAAATCACATATTCACATACAAATGAATGCACATAAAAAGTTCATATTCACTGATTATTCCATGGTGTAAATAGTAAATAAACAGACAACTGAGTTGAGAAAACCCTCTATGACACAGCTGGTCTTTTCCAAAGATTGTAAACCTTTGGCTGGCCTCTCAACAAAACTCAATCATGAATGAACGAAGCATACATTTTTGTCAATGGGTATGATTATGTGCCATAAATTCCAGCCCACAACAAAACCATCGTCATTTTCTTTCCACAACTGCATGTAAGTTGTTCCACTACATCAAACAGATTTCAAGGTGATTGTTTTACTCAGAGTATGATGGGGTCATTCCACAGAAACACTGACTGATTATGTTAGTTTTACCTGTAAACACGTTCAATATATCCGGCTTACATTTAATATATCTGTCATTAATGCCACACAAGGATTTCTTAGAGGGCAACACGCACACAAAAGAAATCACTCCACCAAAATTTCTATGTAAAAAAAAAATTTCGTTCAAAAAATTTTCACTTCACATTATCCAGATCCCAGCAAGTCCAAGATAAGAATTTATAATTTACATAAAAATTAACATATGAACTAAGAACCTCATTTACTAGTCAGAAATATAAATATTTGCTGTATTACTTCCCGACCCTTACCTTTTTACCTCTCTTTCATTATTCAGTCCTAAAAACCAAGTTACACATTAACACTTTTGTACATACTAATCCAGACCCTGACAGAACACTCTATATGAATCATGAAAATGCATTACAGCTTCCATCAGCAATTAAAAATCCCCGATATGATAAAAACAGCACAGTCAAAATATAGACTACACATAACTCCAGCGACAGACCACTTATCATGAGAATTTTACGTTTTATCTGCTCGTACCTGGAGAGAATTCTATACTTATCCATGGCTTTCAGTTAGAAATTTACATTGTGGGAACTTTAATTTAGGCCCTCAAATCTTAAATCAACAAGGTCTAAATATTACAAATATTGTTGTTCAAGAATAAATTACTGGGCACATATACAGTATCACATGCAGGTATATATGATCATGCTGGTACAGTTCCCTTCTTAAGTTGCATCCCACCAATAGAATACCTATAAAATGTGTATTATTTAAACAGTCTTTAAAATGATAATAAATCCACTTTCAAAGAATCTTTGATCTGAAAGCTGTCATTAAATAAATGTTCAGGTTTTGATAATGAGTACCATACCTGTAGCTAGCCCCTAACTTGATTTCTGGCCTAGATTGAATAAATTTTAAATAGGAGTGAAAGACTGGAGCACAGCAAAGTTTACGAATGGCATCTACTTGGTATTTACATTTTGGCATTGTCAAACAATGCTACTTTTTACAAAGCTAATAACTAGCTCCCACTATAAAACTTCAATGATTTCTTATGTCAGACTAAAAAATTAATTACTATGCACAGGTAATATATTGATAACTTTATCTCCACTGTGCCTTTCTAGTTTATTCAGGTGGAAGTCACCCCTTCTGTACATAATCAGAATAGGCCAAAGTTTTGTAGACATTTGCTTGCATCATTCACAAAAAGTGCATGTCATTGAGAGACTAAAGGTAATTAAAGGACCACAACTCATAATTGAATATACATCTAAGAGTTTTTTCCCTTTGCTCATAGATCTCCCATTACAATGGTCTGGGTTTGTAAATTTTATGATAAAAACACTACCTGGTGGTGTAGAAACCACAGAGATAAATCTATCACACTGAATGAGTGAGTGTGTCTATTCTAAATAAAAATTCCCAAAAATATTGATAGTGATCACGCAGTGCTGCTCATGATTGAAACACAAAGTTGAAATATACTCAAAAGGATTCATTGATTGCTATTTCACTTACAGACATCCACACATGATAATTGATTGATTCCTAATCTGAATACATATACATTGTACATATACCATAGTGTAAAAAATCATTTTAAAAGAACTCATGTTATTTCATCCAGTATGCACCACCTGCCAAGAAAACATGCCAAGCAACAAATACATACACATGGTCACTCGGAAAACTAGTAATTTTGACAGTAACTAAGCATCACTGACATGAAGATCACATCTACTTGATATATTTACCTACTTCATACAAATTTAAAGTCCTGTGTTCATCTTTTAGTTTTTTATCTGTTCATCTGTGCCCCTTATCTCGGCAGACCACCTGTGACAGTATAATCAGCTGACTACTGTCACCTGTTCTTCTGTCAAATCTCGGTTTTCTAACAATCACAAGGCATGCAATGCTGAGAAAAATTAACTAAAGAAAGTTCTACAAGAACTGAAATTTTCTATCTTTGTATGAATGTCCACAGAATGTTGACAGATTTGATTACAGCTTGATTAATAATCATCAACCATGTAGGGAGTAGAAACCATTATAACCTTATACATATAAAACTTGCCTAATGTGACCCAGAATAGATGAATTTTAAATCAACTGCCCTGTATGCAACTGCATTAATGAGATAGAATACAATGTAGGCAAAAAATGGGATCCTCAAATTAATGCATTATACATGTATTTACAACTGAATTCAGACAATGAATATATCTCAGTAATTTTAAACTACCAACTTCATCAACACTGCATTATAATGCAGTACCATTGAGTATTTGTTTCTGATCAGTTTACAGGTGTTCGCTTGTCAGACTTTGTTTTTGTTCCCTGTTCATAAGAATTCAATATGAAGTCTGATAAAATCATATTTATCAATTTTCAAGTCATTCTACCTGCCAAAATAAAAGCAAAGAGCTGTTCTGCCTCAGCTAAATCTAAACAAGAGCAATTTAATCTGTTCTTTTTTTTAAATTCATTATCACATACATTTAACTTCTTGTGCTAAAGAATGTGGGAATATGCAGAATATTATTTAATCTTCTTAAATGCAACTACTTAAAAAGCCGCTAAATAATCTCTTCACTGTATGATATTACGTCAAACGTATACATTTAACTATTAAAGACACACAGTCTTATGACTTGCATTGATGCATTAACTATACAGAAAACATACAATTTGTAAACCCTGTATATCAATCAGATTAAATTTTTGATACTATAAATATAACATTGCAGAGTGACATTGAAAGTTTTAAATCAAAAACTTGACGTAAAAGTAGTAATGACTACTATTTTCTAAGTTGTAACTTAAGGACAACCAGATGTCTCTAGATAGACTATAGCTCTTCCTGATTGAATTATAAGAAAATACAGGATATGGGTGCAATGGACATAAATTATAGCTCTAACATCGATATCTCAAATATCATGCATATATCAAAATGATCTGGAAGTCTGAACCACTTTTCATCAATAGATTAAACCTAGTTATCTCAAACCCTTGAATATCTTGAATTATTGAGCTCGAGATAATGAGGTTTGACTGTATTATTTTTCCCTAAAATTACACCATTCCCACTAAATTAGACACAAAATGACAGCATGTTTGAAGCTTGAATTTTAATCCTCTGATCTGTCGGTATTTAATAACTAAAGCATTGATCTTCTCATCAATGTGCAGGATTTGTGAATGGAAGGAAATGATTTTTTGGAAGTCTTTGATCTAATCACGTTAAAGTAAATCAGCACAATGCCAAGAATGTCTGTCAACATAGCTTCAGGATCACAGCTCATGAATTTCAGACATTTAGGGAGGTGGGAACATGTTTCTGCGTTTTTTGTTCCGTTAGTTATCAAAAAATGCAGCACAACAAAAAGCAGACCCAGCAAGCGCTTGGTGTGGTGACAGCTCTCAGATTGTTCTATCACGACTTGGCTACTGAAATCTCTACACCACAATCATATATCAATGTCTATTATGTGAAGCTTTAGATATCTTCATTTAAAATGAACGCAGTTTTGCACTTCCATTTTCTTTGTTGTTTTTGCTTATATAAATATGTAATAATTTGTCAGTGACCAGACAGGTTGAATTTATAAATATAATCTAACATTTATTACTTTTTAAACATTATTTTACCTAGAACAGGTTACTTTAATAGAGAATTAACTAACCACCATTATCTTTTATATTATAAACTTAGTATTAAAGCAAAGGTAACTGTCCCTTAGATCTAATTACCTTTAGTGCAAATTCTGTTAGAAAGCACATGTACATACATATTAAGAGTATTGTGATTTGCAGTGTATTAATTAATAAGCTGGAATATATCTTTGCTTCTGTGCACACTGAGCACTACTGGTGTAGATCGCAAGTTATTAACCTTAAGTAAATAAACAATTATACTAAATGATTGCCATGTGTCTCTGGTAGATATATAACTACCAGCTCGGCTATCTAGAAGAAGTTTTCATTTCTTGCGGGTAAAATCATGAAGACTAGGAGAGAAGGACCCAAAACTATTCCAAATCCATTTCCAAAACAAACATCACTGTTTGCATCAGTGTCAACTTTGATTAATGGCTACCAATTTTACCCTCATTTTCTTTCATAAAACAGTAATAAGCTCATCAAGTTCTCCAATGAAATCCCAAAAATTATATCTGGTATACCACAAAAAGTTTTCTTGAAAGAAATAAAAGCTTATGGTGTTGAAAATAAGCATACAAAAATGTACAAACACTTTTTTTATTACTCAAGACAAGTTTTGATTTCAAGGACTTACCACAATAGCCATCATGCTTTGTTTCAAAGTATCTATATTGGTTAGGTATAACTGGGTCTAATCCCATGTCAGACAATGAGGTAACACTATAACTCCACAATCGATTCACAGGGGGCACCTGCATATGACTGGTCATAGTACTGGGGGATCTTAGACGATCCCTAGCCACACTCCAACTACTACTCCGACTACGAAATCCTTGATCCTCCATATCCAATGGAGATATGTGCACATTTGTATAATCAGGTCTTGAATTTAAAGATACACTGTGACTGCGTTCCCTTAAACCAGTGTCCTCCGAAATATCCACAATTTTCCTAGATTTCATTGTTAAGCTTTCATAAGATCCCCATAATTCCCTATTAGAGGGCAAACCTGAACTAAGAATTTTATACTCATCAATATTTGGCAGTGCTCGTTTACTTGGAGTGACTTTAGGTGGTGTCACATGAATAGAATTTTTTTCGTGTATTTTAGATGCAACATTTTCCACAGTCCTTGAATCAGTGCAATCTTTTCTTAATTCACTGCTGTTAATCAAGAGTTCTGAAAGTTCATGAATTGCAGATGATCTGTTGCTAGGTGATGCAGGACGATTACATGGATACAAAGCACTGTTACTAACTGATGAATGAGGTGATGACCTGTTGCTAGGTGACACAAAATGGTTGTCTGGAGACAAAGCAATGTTGCTATGTGATAGTGATGAGTGTGTTAAGCTACTTTTAGGTGAAGGAGATCTGTGTAATGAAGAAGCAGATTTGTTTGACCGTCTGTCAGCTAGAATAGGTATAGACTTACGATCTGGGCCTGTATGGCCAAGTTCTTCTCCATCCGTTTTCAAAGCTCGATAGACCAACATTCGTCGGGCCTGCACTACTTCCTCTGGTGACCTCTGAGTGTTTTTCTGCACCTTTGAGTCTGATGACGACATGACAGGCTGTGATACCCTGTGTTGTGGTTGAGAGGGACTTTCATTTCTCGTTAAAGCACAGTGCTTGCTGTTAAAATCACTAGTCCTTACTCTGAGATCAAAATCACCACTATATCTGTTCATATGTAGGTGCTTTGGTCTGTTCTGTCTTAGAATTATCTTCCCATACACAGGACCATTAATTTCTTCCTCATCCTCCAAACCAACATTGCCCAAGCTATGGAGAGACTGTGATTTACAGGAGAATAGACCTAGACTAGACTGAGACATGGACAAATCTCGGTTCTGGACAGCCAGTCCTCGTCGCTTTGAGATGTCTGCTAACTTATCAGCATACATGTCCCTTGAGATCTGTCTCATCTGTTTTGGACCGAGTCTCGGAGATTCACTGTCTTTGCAAGTCAGAGATCTGCGTATTGTGTCTCGACCCAAGGTATCCTTTTGTTTACTCTCATTTGGCAAGCTGGGGTCCAGAAGTGGAGGGAAATGTCTGGAGCGAGTTGGACAGGAAGTGGACAATAACTTAGAGGAGTCATTTTCTTCTTCTCGAGATCTATCGCCTGACTTAATAGAGATGCTTTTGGTAGGACTAGAACGCTGGTTGCCTCCTGAAGGAGTGTGTCCATTTGGAGTGGAAACTCCTCCATTATGAGGAGAAAACTTAAAACTTCCCCTTTTGGGCCTGGTGTCTGTGAATGAAGAACTCCGTTCTCGAGGAGGACTTTTGCTACGTTTACGAAATTTTGAGGTTATTCCAGTGAAAGACCTACTTCTCCCTCTCACTTCTCCTCCATCAAAGTCCTTTCTAGGTGATGTCGCTTTATTCCCCATTCTTCATATCTGAAAAAAAAAATATAAAGTGTCAATATAGGGAAAAAAATAATATGATCTTGTTGGAATTACAGGAGGAGTCAACACGTTCAAAAGGATAATAAAGTGGTTGACACTACATTTAACCCTCTTAAAGGGGAAAACACAGCAAATAGATTTTACAAATAAATATTTAAAAATAACAATAAATAGCCACACTTAAAGGTTCTTAAGTCAGCTAAATCCTTGGAAAAATATACTACTTTTCTCACTATTAAACTGTGTTTTTTGAGATCATTTGGGTCATGCTTAATTTCAAACTTTCCAGTCCATAAATTTCAGAACTTATAAAAGTCTTGCAATTCTCATTGGGCTTTTTAAAACTGGCATCTTTATATAACTTCTGCACATGATCAACTTGAAATACCATCAGAAACTTTAACTTTAAGCTATTTTATAAGCTTTTCCAAGACCCTGTTCACAATTGAATGCTGAATTTCTGATCATGAACATTATTTAGTGCTAAAATCCATGATCCAATCATGATATAACAGACAAAATAGAGACATTCTTCCTTCGGACTGGGTTTCCAAAACAAAGATATTAATGGTAAGAATGAACCTATTGATATGGCCAATGATATACCTACATTCACACATACCTGTATTACTCATGTAGAAATATCCAAACACCCAAAAAGAAAACCAAACACCTTAAGGAAATACAAATGTGAGCCACTCTATAGAACAAAGAGACAGCCTGTCCACAGTCAGATTCCATCAAATTAAGTCAAAATTATATCTGCGATAACATCTACACTGAAACACTCCTTCAAGTGCAACATCCTTTCTTTACCATCATCAATTCTATCATTTTCTTCTTGAATCCAATATCACTAATACATATGATATAAATCCCATTGTGAAGGGCCTCTCTCAGCACTTCCCAGCCCAATGATTCACAAATGCTGATTATAAATATTTAATAAATTTATCTCAAGGCCAGGCCTTGCACCCTGGTGATCTCTCTGGAGATTTACTGCCTACTGGTCATCTCCTAACAGACAAAGGTGAGTCTTGTCTAAATTGCTACTTGACCCCTGGGTTTTCCTGTGTGTGCTGATCAAACAGTATAGCACACTACGATCACTGCATGACCAGAATGCCCTCATAAGCCCTTACTAATATAAGGCAGGTAACTCTGCATTCACTAAGATTAACTCTGCATTTACAAAGATTAACTAATATATCCAAGAGTAAATAAAATACAAACCTACCATCTGATACAATTGAATCTGTGAAACATTTCAAAAGTAATCTCGTTTGTATTTACAATGTTAACATACAAGACTGCACCACAAGAAGCTATTTTCTTTGAACCACAGAAGTGTACAAATTGCAATTGCAAAATTAAACAATTTAGAACTTTGAAGCAGAAAACCAAACCACTTATGTTTGTTACCTTGTTGACAAGTCATACAGGTAATTCTAGTTTACCAGCATGTCACAGCTACCTGAGGGTGTATAAGTTTGTTTCCTGATGAAGAACTTTGATGTTTGATTTCTGAATTACAGATCTAATCTACTGATGCAACATCTGATAAACACATGGGACATGTGATCTCAAAAATCAATATTATTTCTAGTTGAGAATGTCAACCAAAAAAAAATATGCAATTTCAGATGAATAGATTTAATATTTCCTGTATTCCCAAATTGCTCCATGGTTCAATATTGTTTGTATTATAGTTTACAAAACATGTACATGAAACTATTACAAATTACACTAGGAAATCAGTTCTCACAAAAGTTTATCACATATGGCTCCACCCTTTTAAACCATACAACGATTACACCCTGTTCTTTCATATTTCTAGTGATGAAATGCTGTGTAATATTTGTATATAAGATTTTTTAGATTATTCACACAACTATAAATCTGGACTGTAAACAGAATTAGGGCATTACTTAAGACCGAGTCTCTAAACAGAAGAGACACTTACCCTACCCACTCCCTCTTTAGATAAAGAACAATTCAACCCACATCACTATAACCTGATTATAATGATTTTTTTCAATACAAATTTCTATACATTGAAATTCCATAGAAATTTTCATTTTATTGTTGAAAAGTATTTATATTCTCCATGGTACACCTCTATTCATGTTAAGGTTTCCTCACTCCTCAAATTAATCTAAGAAATAAAACTTGTTGTGTAGATATTGAACCTTCTTTTCATCTGTAGACCTACAGGCGATGTGAAGAATATGAATTAGATTTTTCTGCAATATGCCTCATAAAACAGTCATATAATCTGCCAATATTTATTTTCTCAACTGATAATCTTCAAATCAAAGCATCTTCAAAGACACCAGTCACCAGGGCCAAGCAAATACCTGAAAATTGTACATCATATTCCTTACGGATACAAAAATGGATGAAACACTCCCAGTCTTCTTGTCTTATCTGTTTATCTTTTCATCCACCAGCATGTTCAAATTTCAGATATAAAACAAAATTATATAGCTAAAAAACTTAGATCTTTTTTGAACCACTTAACCCTTGCTAAGAAAATCAATGATGTACAATTTCTTCTCTTGGATTCAATTAAACAGAAATGAAGAGAACATTTCCTGCACTGCAGACAAGTTTATCTGTCATCATTGAAAGCTTGACCCCCCAGCTGTAATACTGCCTGCATAATCTCAGAACATATGGGATATATTCCATCTAACTTCAGTCTTTGGTATTTTCATGGGAAAATTCTTAAACTCAAATGGTACGAACCAAATCACTCTATAAATGCATTAGAAGTCAGTATTAAAGTAACCTTTATATAAGCAGCAAGACTATGGCTGTAAGAAGATTCAAATTGCAAATTCTTAGTCAAAGAACAACACCATGATCCTCTCCTGTAATAAAAAATGTGTTGTTTTTTTTTTCAACAAATAAGTGACTTCTTACCATGACTCTTGTCCAATAACACCTGTGTAATTTGTTTCTGGACAGAAGAACAAGATCTTCTGGCACTGTCCATCAGACAAGTGTACAGTACATCAGCCACCCACAGTGGTTATCATTAGACTACTGGTGTTAACTGATTAATTACCACACACTGTTTAAATCTAACAGCTCATTATCTCAGCTAGACAACTACTGGACAATCAGAATCCAGCCTACCAATAGAACACCAAAGTCACACTGCTGACTGTCAATAAATGGGGGGAATCATTACCTCCAACTAATCTCTACTCACCCTCAGATGATAAACAGAACCAAGTCTCCCTTAAATCAGTTGTTCTGGTGATAAAGCACACTGGGAGTTCACCCCAGTTTACTGGGATTGATACAGTTTGACCCACATATAACTATCACAAATGCAGATCCATGCAATATTCAAGTCTGCACTCACTGTCACTTTGGTTATTTTTGTTCTGTCACAAATTCAGTGTACAATTGGAGTTAACCTTAAGGATGGTCTGTGAAACACCTAAGGATGGTCTGTGAAATAGTCTAAGGATACTGACAAATGAACATAGTAATCAGTAGTCCGGCCTATATTAGTTGTCAAAGTCCATAAAATCAAAAATAATACTAGGTTTGTTGAAATCTCCTGATTCTTCTTATCCAGTACTTGGCTATTGGTACCTTTTTGCTGTGGTTGAACAATATAAATGCCATCTGAAAGATTCTACAGAAAGACCTTCAACATTAAAAAATTCACATGTTTGAGTCTAGACAACCACAGAGCCATGGCACCTTGTGGCATGAGGATTTCTGAAACAGTTCTTGTTTTACGCTGTCATTCTCCATCAACTTATGCATACAATGTCTCGTTTTGCACAGCAAACACTGACCTGAATCAAACTTTATCAGAAATTACATGAGCATCCCATAAAATCTTATCAAACACTCCTTTATAATCCAAGCAGCTGTGACTGCAGTCAAACACCATTCTACATTTAAATGTTCCAAGTGTCAACAATGCGTATTTATCTTTAGGTATAAAAACCTAATTAATTTTTTAAGTACAATGCCATTTTAATTAAGTTTGTTTTCAAGAGTACAGTAAAGGAAGTGAACCAACTAATTCAATCTGTTTTTTCCTTATCATTAATCTCATCTTGGTTCCTTTTTTCTGGCAGATTTCACCCTAAAAGTTCTAACAATCCTCCTAAGTGTCAGAAATAGAACGACCCTTACTCCTATCAGAGACACAATAAATCAAGGGACCAAATCAGGCCAATAACATCTAAGAAGTGGATTTGAAAATAAAACTAACAAAAATTCTGACTGATACTGTGATGTTTCAAACCAAGACGCTCTCTTTGAATGAAGCCTGATATTTTTAAAGCATGCGTGATTGTGGAAGTGATACCGTAATAGTTCCAAGGCAGCCAGCATGAGGCTTTATTTAGGAGTGTGTTTATGTGTCCAAGATTTACCAAAAGGCTTGGGAAAATGCCCATCCTTTACATTGACTGGTTCAGAGGCTGACATTTTTTTTAATAAAGGGGAAAAAATTGCAATGAGAAACATTTAGTTATACATACCTACACCTCATTCCCTACACCCACAAGAAAATATTGCACTGACATTTTATAATTGCAGTAACATTGCTTTTATCATTGACTGAACAAATAAAACACTCACTGAACTGAACTTACCCTGAAAGTTAGCCTGAAGTCAATACCAGTGAAAAAAAGAAGGTTGTACAAAATCTGCACCTTATCATGTTAGGTCAACTTTACATTGCATCGTCCTGATAAAGGCTTCGGTGAAATGAACCCAGTTGTTTAAAAAGCCTTGACAAAGTATTAGCTACATTAGGTATTGACACTGTAGAACCGATTACTAATGTAAATATTCTGACACCTTTGCAGTATGTGGAATGCTATTTATGCACAATCGATTTAATAAAAATACCACATGCTAAAGCATTAAACATTAGTACTGTGGATGAGAAAAATCACCAAGAGATTAAATTTGTGTTTAGTATGAGATAGTCTTACACACACACACACACACAC